TCTATCTATCTATCTATCTATCTATCTATCTATCATCTCTCTGTCTCCACCTGTTGAATCCATGCCCTGAATTCCATTCTAGTGGTGTAACTACACTCCGCCCTAACGCCGTCTCTCTGCCTTTTCAAACTCCCAGGGGACGATGCCCAACTCCGGCTCATCCTGGTCGGGAAATCCGGAAGCGGGAAGAGTGCGTCGGGCAACACCATCCTCGGCCGACCGGTGTTCGAGTCCCTGTTGGCGGCCAAGACCACCACCGTCGAGTGTCAAAGGGCGCAGGGAACCTGGAAGGGGAGGACGATTTCCGTCTTCGACACGCCCGCTCTGTTTGATGCTGAAACGATGGAGACCTCCCTGGAACAGCAGCGCAAAAGCTGCCATCAGATGTGCCGCACCGGTCTCCACGCCTTCATTTTGGTCACCCAGGTGGGGCGCTTCACCGCCGAAGATGCGGCCGCCGCCAAGCAGGTCTGGAAACTATTCGGGGACAAGTCCACCTCCCGGACCATCATCCTGTTCACCTGCAAGGAGGACCTGGGAGGGGACGACCTGGAGACATACGTCGGTGAGGCCACGAACGAACATCTGTGTAAGCTGATGGAGAAGTGCAACCGTCGCTTGTGCGGATTCAACAACAAGGCCAAGGGAGCCGAGCGGGAGGAGCAGGTCAACAAGCTGATGAAGATGGTGGAGGAGATCACCAAGGAGAATCAAGGGGAGCTGTATGTCATCCCGGAAGATCCCGAAAAATAAAACCAGCATTTATCTATCTTTATCTCTATCTATCTATCTCTATCAATCTCTATCTCCATCTATTTATCTATATCTATCTATAAATCTATCCATCCATCCATCCATCTCTTTATCTCTATCTCTCATCTCTATCCATCTATATCTGTGTAACTAACACATCTATCTCTATCCATCTAACTTTCTATCTATCTTTCTATCTGTATATCTCTATCATCTATCTTTATCTATTTATCTCTATCAATCTCTGTCTCCATATTTATCTATGTCTGTCTGTGTGTCTATGTATCTATGTATTATCTATGTCTCTATCCATCTCTGTTTATATCTGTCCGTCCATCCATCCATCCATTCATCTCTCTCTCTCTCTCTCTCTAATCTCTATCCATCTATTTATCTATCTGTCTATCTAGCTAACACTGTATCTATGTATCTCTCTCCATCTATCTTTATCTATCTATATCAGCTATTTGTCTTTATCTATTTATCTAATCTATCTACTTACTTATCTATGTCGTTATCCATCTATCTATCTATCTATCCATCCATCCATCCATCCATTTACTTGTCTATATCTATTTCTATCCATCTCTATCTCTATACCTCTATCTATCTATCTATCTATCTATCTATCTATCTATCTATCTATCTATCTATCTATCTCTATTATCCATGTATCCATCCATCATCTCTCATCTACATCATCTGTCTATCTATATCATCTTCTATCATCTATCTATATTATCTCTATGTATCTCTCAATCCATCATCAATCCAACAATCATCTATTTATCTAATCTATTATCAATCATCATCATGTCTGTCTGTCTGTCTACCTACCTCTATTATCTATATAACATCCATCATCTATCTATCATCGATATCATCTATCTATTTGTCTATCTACCTACCTATCTTTCTATCTATCTACTTATCTATCTCTATCCATCTCTATCTCTATCTATCTATCTATCTATCTATCTATCTATCTATCTATCATCTCTCTCTCTCCACCTGTTGAATCCATGCCCTCAATTCCATTCCAGCGGTGTAACTACACTCCGCCCTAACGCCGTCTCTCTGCCTTTTCAAACTCCCAGGGGACGATGCCGAACTCTGGCTCATCCTGGTCGGAAAGTCTGGTGGCGGGAAGAGTGCGACGGGCAACACCATCCTCGGCCGACCAGCGTTCAAGTCCCTCTTGGAGGCTAAGACCACCACCGTTGAGTGTCAAAGGGCGCAGGGAACTTGGAAGAGGAAGTCAATTTCCGTCCTTGACACGCCCGCTCTGTTCAACGCCGAAACGATGGAGACCTCCCTGGAAAAGCAGCTCGAAAGCTGCCGTCAGATGTGCTGCACCGGTATCCATGCCTTCATTTTGGTCACCCAGGTGGGGCGCTTCACTGCCAAAGATGCGGCCGCCGCCAAGCAGGTCTGGAAACTCTTCGGGGACAAGTCCGCCTCCCGGACTATCATCCTGTTCACCTGCAAGGAGGACCTGGGAGGGGACGACCTGGAGACGTACGTCGGCGAGGCCAAGAACAAAGATCTGTGTAAGTTGATGAAGAAGTGCAACCATCGCTTGTGCGGGTTCAACAACAAGGCTGAGGGAGGCGAGCGGGAGGAGCAGGTCAACAAGCTGATGAATATGGTGGAGGAGATCACCACGGAGAATCAAGGGGAGCCGTATGTCATCCCGGAAGATCCCAATAAATCAAACCTGTTGTCCAAACAATTGAAGTGGATCAAAGAATTCAAGAATAAATTTTGAGAGAATGTCCAGGGTTCCGACGGACGCCCGAATGAATTCATGAGCCTCCAGCCAAGTATCGAAAGAAATCCAATGATTTATTAGGAGCACTTTCCCCAAGGGCGGTCGGCTCGGCCCTCTGTAATTTCCTGCCAGCCTATGACCTTCCCTCCCTTCTTCCTTCCTTCCTTCCTTCCCATCCATGCTCTTTTCCTTCCTTCTTTCTTGCCTTCCTTTTTACTCCCCTTTCTATTTCTCCTATTTTTCCTTTTTTGCGGGTTTCTTTCTTCCCTTCCTTCCTTCCTTTTTACGCCAACTTTCCTTATTCGTTCTTTCCCTCCCTCCCTTTTGTTCCTTCCTTCTTCTCTCCTTCCTTCCTTTCCACCCACCCACCATTCCTTCCTTCATTTCCTTCTTTCCTTCCTTCCTTTTTACTCCCTTTTCTTTCTTTTTCCTTGTTTTTCTTTTGCATTTCTTAGTATCTTTCTTTCCTTCCTTTTTACTTCCACTTCCCTTCTTCCTTCTTTCCCACCTTCCCTTTTGTTCCTTCCTTCCTTCCGTTCCTTCCTTCTTTCCTTCCTTCCTTTTTACTCCGCCTTTTCTTTCTTTCTCCTTGTTTCTTTCTTTTGCCTTTCTTAGTTTCTTTCCTTTCTTCCTTTTTACTCCCACTTTCCTTCTTTTCCACCCTCCCTCTTTTTGTTCCTTCCTTGTTCCTTCCTTCCTTCCTCCTATTCCTTCCTTCCTTCTTTTCTTCCTTCCTTTTTAACTCCCCCTTTTCTCTTTCTTTCTTTCTTTTGTCTTTCCTTCCTTCCAATCCTTCCTTTTCACTCCTTTTCTTTCTTCTTGTTTCTGTCTTTTGCCTTTCTTAGTTTCTTTCCTTCCTTCCTTTTTACTCCCACTTTCCTTCTTCCTTCTTTCCCACCCTCCCTCCTTTTCTTCCTTCCTTCCTTCCTCTCCACCCACCCGCCTTTCCTTCCTTCCTTCCTTCTGTTCCTTCCTTCCTTTTTATTCCCCCTTTTTCTTTCTTTTTCCTTTCTTTTCCTTCCTTCCTCCACCCCGGCCCCACCCCCTTTTCCTGCCAAGTCTGGGCGCCGCCTCTCTGCTCCTCCATGAATCAGAAGAGATCACAGGTCATAAATCACCTTCTCCAACCGAAGGACTTTTCCCGGGGCGGTAGGAAACACGCCTCTCCATCCGGCTCTTGGTCACCTGGGACTCAGTCTGGAGGACGGGATGGGTGGAAGGAGCTTCTGGGGGTTGCAACCAAACTGCTCCGTCCCGTCTCCCTCTCCGCCCCTCCTTCTTATGGCCACGCAAGAGCAGGCCAAGAATGCTTTCCGAGTTGACGGATGGATTGTTTTCGGGAGTTCCTCTCCTTTTCGGATGGTCGCTTCTTCCCCCCCTCCCCGGCGATAGCCGCCGGGGGGGAATACACGTAGATCTGTGTGCATGCGGTGTATTGCCGTCTCCCCTGCGTGGCTAGCGAGCTGCCACGGGGGGGTGGGGGGGAAGCAGCTATCCGGGCGGTGAGATTTGCTCGGGCCTCTGTCCGTAGACAATGGCCAAAGTGCAGCGGGGGACATCCGGCTGGCGAGTCGGTGTTGCGAATCGTCTCTGTGGTGGGTGTGGTGAGAGACGACTCCCCTGCTTCCCGGCCAATGTCATGGAAGAATCCAGCCGCTCTAGTGGGTCCCCTTCAAACAGGGGGCGCTCAATTTTCCCCAAGCGCTAGCCCAGCGGAGACACGCGTGTGCCGCTTGACTCCGCCAGTGGACAAGTCAAACGGTGTGGACTCGCAGGGGTGCGCCTACCAGGACCCGTCTCCTCTCGCGAGTCGAAGCTGCTGGCACGACGGGCCCTGTCGCTCGCGCAACTTGGTTCACCCTCTCCTCCCTCTCCCTCCAGGACAGGGCGAGCCTGCAATGCGATTCAAGCGGGAGACAACCCGGTTTCGGGGGAGCGGGTGCTCCGCTCCGCACACGAGAGTCCGCTGGGCTCTCATGAAAGACGCAATCAAAGCCCAGGAAAGAGCTTAGCCCACTTGCTCTTCAGAGTGAACCGGCTCGCTCGCTGATCGCCGGAGCCAGCGGTTCGGGTCCGAACGGGTCCAAACCGGGAGAATCCCACCCAAGAGGAGAGAAGTTGAGAGACCGCTAGCCCATCTTTCAAACTTCCGAGCCCCAAGTTTTGTCGAGTTGTACCACACTGTTGATGAGGTCCTTTTTGTGGGGTCTGTTTCAAGGAGAAGCAAAAATCTCCAGATGAAAAAGATGGAAAGGGTTTTTTTGGGGGGGTGGAGACTGGAATCTTGTTTGCCCCCCCCGGGATAATGTTTTTCCTCTGGAATCTACTTCTTGGAAATAAAAGTACATTTAAACCATCGGCTGGGCAGTTATGTTATTCCCTGAAATGGTGGTGTTACTTACTTCATGTGTTATGTATGTATGTATGTAGGTAGGTAGGTATGTGTGTATGTATGTATGTCTATATCTACCTATATCTATCTATCCACCTTTGTCTCTCTCTCTCTTTCTCTCTGTCCATTTATCTAGCTAACCCTAACCCTCTATATCTTTTTCTAGCTCTATCCATCATCTATCTTCATATCTCGAACTCTATATCTATTTATCTCTGTCTCTATCTCCATCTATTTATCTATCTATATAACAATATCTATGCATCCATCCACTTATCTCTTTATCTCTCTCTAATCTCTATCCATCTATCTATCTCTGTATCTAGCTAACACTATATCTCTATCCATCTATCTTCATCTCTATCATCTATCTATCTCCATCTATATATCTGTCTGTCCATCCGTCCGTCCATCCATCCATCCACCTATCTCTTTATCTCTCATTTCTATCCATTTATTTATCTATCTCTGTCCATCTGTCATTATCTATATATCATCTATTTATCTATCTTTATGTATTTATATCTATATCTATCTATCTATCTATCTATCTATCTATCTATCTATCTATCTATCTATCTATCTATCTATCTATCCTCTTTCTGTCATCTATCTCTGTTTCTATCCATCCATCCATCTATTATTCCTCTTCCTCCTTTTTCTTCTTCCTCCTCCTCCTTTTACAAACCCGACTCCTTTCCGGCCCCGATGATGTTACCTAGTTGGGTCATAAAAGAACTGGAAGCAAAATGAATATCTCAGGGGCTGCTCCAAAGAAGAGGGGTGTGTGTGTGCGCGCACGCGTGTGAGTGTGTGCGCACGCGCATGTGTGTGTGTGTGGGGGGGGGAGTGTGTGTGTGTAAGTGGGTGGGTGTGACCAGAAGGCAGGACCAGAAGCAACGGATGGAAACTGATCCAGGAGAGAAGCAACCTGCAATGAAGAGGAAACATCCCCACAGGGAGGAGCCTTGGCCTGTGGAACTGCTCGCCACCAGAAGTTGGGGGAGCTCCATCGCTGGAGGGTTTTTTTAAAGCAGAGATTGGAGAGCCCTTTGTCCGGCATGGTATTGAGTCTCCTGCTTGAGAAGGGGGTGGGGTTGGACTAGAGGACCTCCAAGGACCCTTCCCATGCTGTGATTCTGTTAAGGTTTCCTCTTTGAGCAAGGGGAGGGGGGTGGATTAGTTGACTTCTGAGGTTCCCTTCCAAGAGTTCTTCTGTTAAGGGTCTCCGCCTTGAGCAGGGGGGGTTGGACTAGAAGACCTCTGAGGTCCCTCCC